TCGATAATACTCTTTACCCAACCTACAGATCCAGCGCGGTAGGCGACCTTTCTTCCTGGGGAAAGATCCATGTCTTCGGTGGTGATGTCCATCGGGTTCATGGGGGTGTCTGTGTCGAAAGTGACGTCAGTGACCGTGGAGAGGGCGTCGGAGTAATCCGAGGCGTGCCCTGCAGGAACTGCTGTCGTGAGGTCTACCGCTTCGGCCATGTCTTCAGCTTCATCAGATTTTTGCTGGTCGTCTTCTTCTGGTTTGGGCGAAGCAGGTTCCCCTGCATTGTAATCGCGACTGAATATATTTAAATCGTGGATAGGTGAAACATTCTTCCGTCTTTGAATAGATTGGGATATTTCTTGGGCTGTAGCTTGATCGTAGTCGTCTTCCGCCAACTGCTCGCTGTATGGTGTTGTATTCGGATCGGTGCAGTAACCCCGAACATCACCGTGAGACCAGACCCACTGTGTCTTGCGGAAGTTGGGGCTCCTTGGTGGGCGCCTCATGGGGCAGCCGAGCCTGTGGTCGGCATGCTCGAAGGATGTGCAAGCAACGCCTCTGTGCAGTTTCCGTTCCTCGATGATGGCCCTCTTAAGGTCGCGCTTTATAAGGGCCTCTTGTGTTTTGACAGCCCCTGTCCTTTATGGGCGAGCGACCTTGCCTTTTTCATGTCGATCAACATTGCGAAGAGAATGCCAGTGACGAATCCGGTGCTCAGTCCAACCCTTGTTCAACCAGTGTCGCATTGTATCTGGGTCTATGTACTGACGAGCCAAACCAGCATCCGAGTAGCCGAGAAGGTGCTGTATTTCGCCTTCTGGATATTCATCGCGAGGTTCTTCCCCCTGCAGCGGGTGTCCCCGCAAAGCCCCCTCCTCGGAGGAGCGTCAGGTCTACTGTCCTTTCTTGGTGGGGCCCTCGGCTTCCTCGCATCAGGAAGATGAGAGCGCTGACGGCCGATAAAGCGAGCGCCGCTGGAGCGTGCGCGCGCGCGGTCGGGCGAGCCGCTGCGGGCCCGGCCGCGACGTGCCAGGCGCGCGTCATCTTCCCATTGCTCGTCATCGTCGTCGGCGCGATACCTGCGTCTCCAGGCCTGGCGGCTTGCCGATCGCTCGTGGCGGCTCCTGGGGCGTTCCGAAGCTACGAATGTATATTGTGTATATTGAAGTCCTCCGTTGTGGCCGAGCTCGCACTGATGCGTTCAGACAGATCGCCTGCATCTCGCGGGTTTCCCCGCAAAAAGGGTCATCCTCACTCAAGTCCATGTTTGTCGGATTGCCAATAACCCGAGGATAAGGCATCAATTGTATTTCCTCCTGTGCTGCAATAACTGTGGCTGCTGAATCCGTGGGTGACACCGCCATGTCATCATCTCGTTCGGCGCTTATGTGGCAATTCTCGACAAATGCAATATCGGCAGGCTGCCCCGCGATGGGTATGCCCAGCCAGTCTGCCAGATCAATCTCACTGTGGCCAGTGAATCTCCTCGAACAGCTCGTCGGCGTACTTCTCGAGGGACACGCTGGCACTCAAATATCTGGCAACCATGAAGTGAGCAACTACATCTGAGCAGTCGGCAGGGTCGGCCAAAAGTGACCCCCAGTCAACGTACTGCATGTCCGAGTCAGTTTGAGCCAGATGCATCGACGGACCTCTGCCTCCCCCATCGCCCTGAGGGCGTGCACGATGGAAGTGTTGAGTGCAATGGCATACATCGCGCCCCATAATTTTACCGTTCGCATCCTTCAGGTTGCCCCGACGCCCGGTGCCTTTTCCTGATGCGTGCCTAAGGTTCCTGCCTGCACCTAGGAACATCTCTTCATATCGTGGTCCGGTAAAAGATGTTAGACATGCTAACATGCCTCTGCCATGCAATCGCCGCCGTTTGTCTTTGCCCTTGCCTCGACCCTTGCCCTTTCCCCTGAGTGCCCGTCGGATAGTGCGCCGTGCCTTGCGAACTGGCTTCTTCATAAATCGCCTCCACCTGCGTATATGTTTCTGGTGCCTAGGAATAGCCATTGCGCCTGCCGTTCTTCCGCGAGGCACGCGGGCATGTCGGAGTAGTCTAGGGCGGCGCCCTCGTCGTCCGAAGGTGCGTCGGCGTCAGCCCCAGAGTCGAAGTCGGACTCGGCAGTTTGCCCCGCTGAGCCCACTAGGGCCGTGGCTTGCGCAGGGGCCATCGCATCGGGTGGCCCCCCCGAAACCTGGCCCAGGAGCCCTGCGACCCCGAGATCGAACCACCATTCTGTGCCAGCAGTGTGGTGGTCTCTGTTGGTTGCGGATCGTCATTCCGGACGTTCTTAGCAGGTTGCCCTGCGTTTGCCTCAACGTGGAAGGTCTCGGTTCGGTGGCCGTGACTGAGAATACCACCAATATTGCCAAGGGTTCTCTCAGCAATGTGAGCATCTGACCTCCTGCGTTCAAGTAGAGAGTCAAACTGTTGCTGGTCTCTCGGCATGCGGTGGTTTAGTGGTTGCAGGAGTTGCTGTGCACGCGACGTCCCCACTCCAAGGGCTCTGAATAGAATAACTGTTAGAATTTGGAAGTTGGGGATGTTAAAGCCTGCCGTTTCAGCTTGCGGGCTATCTCGAAGCGCGCCAGATCTGGTCAATCCGTTCGCCCGCATGGACTCAGAAGTCGATGGGGGCTGTACCAGGGTTGAGTTGGCGTTCCTCTTCTAGGTTCTCGAACTTTGTACTGAAGAGGAACAGATGTAGGTGGTGCCATCGGTATGGCGGCCACCTGTGTTAACGCCGAAATTGGTAACTACGGGGGGAACTCTCATGGCTATGGTCCATGCGAGGCCCCCCAAGCCTCGCTGCAAGGCTGCAGCTTGTGGGGGGCGTCATGGTGCCTGTGGTCACGTTAATCCAGGCATGCACCTCGTGAGCGAATTCGCGGAAGGGTACTTGACCGGGCGGGTCCCAATGGGGGCCGGTCGTTCTTGTGTCGTCTCCGCCACGCATATGTCCCACCGCGCGCCCGATAGCAACCCATGTGAGCCCAAAGATCATAATGCCAATCCAATGGCCTCGGAGGTCGTAGTCGGATGTGGTTGGATTGGGTTTGCGGTGTGTGGTCGTAAGCCTGCGTGGGGGTGGAGGCGGCACAATGTCGTATCGCATGCTTCCATGCATGATGTCTTCGAAGAGGTGTCGAATTGGAGTAGGTGGGTGGACTTCAGGAGTGTAGTAGCGCAGGGATGTAGGACGCGAGTAAGAGGCCTCTGCGTAGGCAGAGGTGTCACTGCAAGTGTCCTTGCTGTGCTGCGTAATTATATACATTCCTCCGCGCAAACCCACTGCACCCTGATGTTCCACCACGTCAGTAGTCCACCAGGTAGTGCCGTGGATGGTGAGGAGTAGAGCAAGAGCTGACCACCATAAGCCAGCTCCGCTACCAAGTTTGAAAAGGGTTGGGGAACCCAACCAGCAGCTTCGCCTTAGGCGAAGCCAAGCTCCAGCTCTGTTGTACCGTAGTAGTGATAATCCCAGTAGTAGGAGGCGAGCCATCTCAAGCAATTTTGGCATCGATGGCAAATAATACACCTCGCACTGAATTGTCATCAGATCTGGGTGAACGGCCGCTTTGAGCCAAGCGGCCTCGGGCGCACGCTCGTTCCCACTCACCTGCGTCGCCCAGCTTACTTTAGTGTTGCTGCTGCTGTTGCTGCTGCTGCTGTTGCTGCTGCAGTTGCGTTTGCTGTAGTGTCGTCCGAGGCCGCCCACCCCCGTCCCCGCGCGCGCTTCGAACATCCCCCCTGAAATTGCCTTTCTTTGGCGGTCGCTTCGGCCTCCAACCGGCCCAAGTGGCCTCCAGGACGGTTTCTTAAACAACCAAGACGACACCAGAACGGCTCTAGATGGCCCGCGGCGGCCCACGAGGCTCTGCTGACAACCTCAAGGCGGCCCGAGAGGCTCCCAAAACGGCCCATGAGGGCTTCACGAGGCCCTCCAGGAGAACACAGGGAGGCAGACACCATTGACTTGCCTTGGGCTCCTGAAGGATTTAAGAGTTTCCGCCTATTTGTGTTTCTAACCACAGCAAACGGCCCACGGGGCTTCCAGTATTGCTTCAAGACAGCCCATGAAGCCCCCCCTGAAAAAGGGCCTGAGTTAGCCCCAGAGCACGCCAATAATGCCCAAGAGGGTCCCAAGAGGACCCAGAGACGGCCTTCAAGCTCTCCAAGAGGGCACCAAAACGGCTCAGAGAGGCCCCCACCGACAGCCTCGGAATGTGTCAGACGGGCCCAAGCGGCCCCAAGAGGTCTCCAAGACGGCCTTAGGACGCTTCACTCTGCCCCCAAGAAGCTCTCAAGATACAGCACGCATTGATAGGGTTTCGACCGATTTTGAGGTGCTCGCCTGTTTGGGTTTCCGACCGCCCGAGACGGTCCAAGAGGCCCCCAGATACCTCCAGGACAGCCCGTGACGCTCCCAAGAGGGCCCCGAGTCGACCTCAGAGGACCCAAGGCAGCCCCCAATACGACCCAGAGAGGCCCCTAAGACAGCCTCCGCAGGCATCAGCTGGGCCAATCGCCTCCCTAAGACGGCCCAAGAAGAGGCCCCAAGATGCCCCCAAGAGGCCCCAAGAGGCCCCCAAGCGGCCCCCCACTAGGCCGCCCACGAGGCTCCCAGGAGGCAGCCCCGAGAAGCTTTCTCCTCATCGTCCTCACTTTCTCACTCTCCTCCTTCTCCCCCTCCTCCTCTTCTTCCTCTTCTTTTTCTTCATCATCATCATCATCATCATCAACATCATCATCATAATCCCTTCCGCGCTGACGAAAAATATATCGGGATCACGTTCGTCCCCAAATCCGACCACTCGCTGAACTGCAGCGGGGTGTGCACTGAACCTCCTCCCTACCGCGCGGAAGAAGGCGAGGCCGAGTTCACGACCCGCCCTTCTTGAGCGCACTCGTCGACATCGAGCTGTCCCTGCACTCAGCCTCCTTCCTGTAGCGCTGTTGCACGGGCACGGTGGCGAGGCTTGCCGCAGGCATCTGGCTAGAGGCACCCCGCCGCCACCGCCGCCAGCGGCAGGGAACGGCTGCCGGCCGGCGCGGGCAGCGCCTCCCACGCGTCCAGCGCGGGGTCGAAGCGCTCAGCGGACGCCGGCCCGCGGCCGCCGTAGACGTAGAGCCGCCCCCCGATCGCCGCAGCGCTCGCGGCGCAGCGCCGCTCGAGCATCGGCGGCAACGTCCGCCACCCCGCCGCCGGATGCTCGTGCGCGAGGCGGTCCACGCCGCGGAGGCGCTCGCCCTGGCACCAGCCTGGGGGGCAACGATGGGGGGGACCGGCAAGGGGGTGCAGCAGTCCGTGTTACCGCTCTCGGGCCACTGATGGATGACAGTGCTCGAAGGACGTGACTGCCGACTTGCCCGAGCGGTCGGCCACGCGTCTCCGTGAGCACCGACTGCAGCTAGCTCCCCGCCGCCCTACCCACCTACCCTGGCAGGGGGGGAGACATCGACCCGGAATCGGCGACACGTCGCCGACGTATAGGTCGGCGATAGGCCCCCGATGGTGCGTCCTCACCTTCCTGGGCGGGGTGGTGGGGCCATCGAGCCCCCATCGGCGACGAATGGACGATGGGGGGTCGATGCGTCCCCCCTGGGTGCTCATCCCCCCCCCTGGCGTTGCCCCCGACAGCCCCCGCAGACGTAGAGGTGCCCCAGCAGCGGCGCGGCCACGGCCTCCGCGCGCCGCGCGTGCATCTCCGGCAGCGCCTCCCAGGCCGGGGGCGCCGCCGCTCCGGGGTCGAGCCGCTCGGCGCAGGCGAGGGACTCGGGCGGCTCGGCCCGGAAGCCGCCGCAGACGTACAGCCGCCCGCCCAGCACCGCCACGGCGGGGTCTGCGCGCTCGGCCGACATGCGCGGCAGCGCCTCCCAGCGGCCCGTGGCTGGATCGAGGCGCTCCGCGGAGGCCACGAACTCGGAGCCGCTGTAGCCGCCGACGACGTAGAGGAGCCCCTGCAGCACCGCCGCGCGGGTCCTGGAGCGGGCCTCCGCCATCGGCGGCAGTGGCGCCCAGGCTCCGACGGCGGGGTCGAAGCACTCGGCCGAGTCCAGGCACTCGCCCCGGAAGATCTGCGGGCGACCGCCGCAGACGTAGAGGCGCCCGCCGGCGCTGGCGGCGGCCAAGTCTGCCCGTTGCTCCGTCATGGGCGGCAAGAGCTCCCAGGTGCCTCTCGCCGTGTCGAAGCACTCCGCGCTGCGGAGAGACTGGAATCCGCGGTGCTGTCCGCCGCAGACGTAGAGCCTTGCGGGGGCCAGGCGCGAACGGCGGAGGTCGGCCGCGCCGAGGGACAGGTCGGTTGACGCCATGCAGAGGGATAATGCCGTGGACTGCCCCGCAAGCCGCAGCACGCAGTCCAGCAGCTGAGTTGGCCGAAGCGCTTGCTGCAGCGAGGCGTCCCAAGTGCACGGGTGCCTCTGTACCGCAGCTGCGAATCGGTGCCGATGGAGCCGAGCAAGCAGGGTTTGCTCCTGGAGCACTCCTGCGTCGTTCAGGCACGCGCACAGTGCAGCAACATGCTTCTCCAGCTCCGCCACAGAAGCGCGCAGATCTTGCCATCCACGCGCCTCGTCGCTTGTTCGCTGCGCCATCGGGCTCTCCGGCTGTAAGGACACGACCTTCGGGTCAAAACAGCTGCGGATTTTGTGCTTCGCAGAGGCTGCATGACGGGGGGCCGACAAGACGCCACGTTCGTCGGGCGTTCAAGGCCTCGAGGCCTCCTGCTCCGGCTCCTCCTCCCTATCCTCCCCCTCCTCTACCTGTCCACCCCCTTCTCCTCATCCTCCCTCTCCTGCTCCTCCTCCTCATCTTCATCCTGTCTAACCCCTCGTCGTCCTCGACCTCAACCTAGTCTTCGTCGTTCTCCTGCTCCATCTGTCCATCCCCTCCTCCTCCTCCTCCTCCTCCTCCTCCTCCTCCTCCTCCTCCTCCTCCTCCTCCTCCTCCCCCTTTTTTGACATCGCCGTCCTCGACCTCGACCTCGACCTCGACCTCAACCTCCTCCTTCTCCTCCTCCTCCTCTTCTTCGTCGTCCTCGATATCGACCTCGTCGTTCCCCTGCTATACGCCCATCGCCGAGGTGCGCGGGCAGCGCCCGCCGAGGCTGGGCGCAGGCGGCGGAAGCCACTGCCTCGCCGGTCGACTCCACGGCGGCGGTGGCCGCAACGGCGGGGCGGCGGGCGGCGGCGGACGGCGGGCGGCGGCGGAGCGCGGCGGCGGCGACGGCGGCCGCGGCGCCGGAGGCGTGCGGGGCCCGCCGCGAGCTGGCAGCGGCGAGGTCCGCCGCTCGCGTTGCCGCCGCGCGCCTCGCCTCTGCCGGACGCGGCGAGCGCGGGCGCGGGCTGCGGGCGAAGGCCGCCGCGGGGTCAGGCCTTCGTGGGGTAGTGCCGGGCGCCGAAGATTGCGGAGCCCACCCGCACGGAGGTGGACCCTGCGCGGGGGGCGGGGCGCGGGCGGAGGGGAGGGCGCGGGGGGCAGGACTGGAGAGGTAGGGTCAGGTCGGGCATGTCCCCCTACAGGGGGATTTTGGAGGAAAATCCGCCAGCCCCCTTGCGGGGCCACCAGGCTGCGAGTGTGAGGATTGCAGCTCCCTGTTCCAGTTGCAGTTTCCAGTTTCCACTGCTCCAGTCCTGCTTTCTGCTTCCTTACTGATGTTTTTTGCTGCGCGCGCGAAGGGGGGAGCCGAAAAGCGTCCTGATTAACGTCCCTGAGTCGCATTGTCTGAATTCTCGGGGGGTCGTGGGACACGACGCATACATAATATTCGCGTCCCCGAGGCCACAATCCCTAGTAAAGATTCGCGTCCCCAAGGCCATCAACCTTTGTAAATTACGCTGTATTCGCGTCCCCGAAACCACAATCCCTTTGTGTAAATTACGCAATGTTCGCGTCCCCGAAGCCAGCTTCGTAAATTATAAGATAGTCGCGCCCCCGAAACCACAATCTCTGGTAAATCAAACAATGTTCGCGCACCCGAAACCATACGCCCTCGAACATTACATAAGATCCGCGTCCCCGAGGCCATCAACCCTGGTAAATTACATCGTGCTTGCGCCCCCGAAGCCACAAACCCTTCCAAATTGAATCAGATTCGCGTCCCCGAGGCCATAAACCATCGCACATTACTCAATATTTCCGCCCCCGAGGCTACCAACCCACGTAAATTATGTGATACTCGTGTCCCCGAGGCCACAATTATGAAATCTTCGCGCCCCCGAAGCAATACACCCTCGTACATTACCTGGTATTCGTGCCACCGAAGCCATCAACCCTCGTATATTAATATTGGCCCTCGCGTGAAGTCCTGACATTGCTACACGTCAGCGTCCAGACATCCCAACACGCTCTGGCAAGTCCCATTCTAAGAGAGAGGGGCCCGCGGCATTGGGGCGAAGCCCTCACCGATTTGAACATATCCATCGCATATGCAAAAATGGTACAACATGTATTCGAAACATCGTCCCCTGACTGTTTTGTGACTACTTTTGAATACTCCTCCTGGAGAGGGACAAACCCGACATAAAGGTAGTGGGGGAGGGAAGGGAGGAACAGCCTCTCGTGGCTGGAGGCTGCGGCCGGAGGGGAACCTTCCGCGCGGCCAGAGGAGCTGGTGGATAGCGTCGGGCTGGCCTGAGAGCAGGGCTGCAGAGGAAACGGGAGGTGGGGGGGGGAAGACGGAGGCAGGGATGGGAGAGGAAGGGCGAGGAGAGGCTGCGCTCCTCCTCCTCCTCCTCCTTCTCCTCCTCCCTCCCCCTCCTCCTCCTCCTCCTCCTCCTCCTCCTCCTCCTCCTCGTCCTGCTCCTCTTCCTCCTCCTCCTCCTCCTCCTCCTCCTCCTCGTCCTCGTCCTCCTCCTCCTCCTCCTCCTCCTCCTCCTCCTCCTCCTCCTCCTCCTCCCCCTCCCCTTCCCCCTCCTCCTCCTCCTCCTCCTTCTCCTCCTCGTCCTCCTCGCGGAAAGACAGCACGCCGCCCTCCTTCGAGGATGGCGTTCTCGTAGTCGTTGCTCATGCCCATGCTCAACTCCAGGGACGACGGGTCTATCCCCAGAGCCTCTGCCACCTACGCGCGGGCGGTCTCCCCTCTGCATCCTCCGGATGCGCCCCTTCTTCGCCTTCGTCCACTGACTCCTCTTTTGCGCGGTCTTCGTCCTGACTTCCCTGCCCCTGCGACTGCCTCTGCTCCTCCTGCTGCTGTCGTTGTTTCCAGGAGGAAGGTCACGGCGAGGGCGGAAACGTGCGCAATCGTGGGCACGCGGGGGGGGCTGTCGCAGAGGATCCACGAGTCCAACACCACGGGAACGAGGAACACGAAAACCATGATGATAACGATGGTTATGATGAATAGAGGCCTCCCAGATGGGGCCGGAATAGATGGGGTCAGAGGATCGCACAGCATCGCCAAATCGGGCTCCGCATCGAGCCGCATCGTCGATGCATCGGCGATGCGGCGCGATCCTCCGACCCCATCCACTCGGACCCCACCAGGGAGGCCTAGAATGGTTCGGGCGCGGCATCGCCGGGTAAGCTCCCGTGCGAAAGGACAAAGCGCAGCACAGCACGGCGCGCATAGGAACTCCGAACTTCCGGGCGCAGCAGGGCCTCCATCGACAGCGGAACGGCCCCCGCTGGCCTGCTGCGGCGGGAGGCTGACAGCCGAGCCTGCGGCGGCAAACGCCTGCTTTGCATGAACTCCGCTCCTTTGGTGCTCGGGCGGGACGTGCACCCCGAGCAGCCAGCCAGTCCTTGCGGACGTCCACGGGGTCGCGCCGCGGTGGCAGGAGGCCTCCTAGATGGGATCGGAGTAGATGGGATCGGAGGATCGCGCCGCATCGCCCATGCATCGGCGATGCGACTCGATGTGGGGCCAAATTTTCTCCCCGCCGACGTCGCCAGCGCATCGCGTCGAGGCCACCCCTGCCTTGCTCTCGGCCACCGAGCGCGGGCCCGACGTCGCGGGTCTTCAACTTGATGCGGCCATCGGGGGCGCTCACTGGCATGTCCTTGTCCGACTTTCCGTGGAGGAGATGCTTCGGCTCGCCGTCGAAAGCGTTCACCAGCATGGTCTTGTCCGACTTCCCTCGCTGGTGCATCGTCTCGTAGCACGCGAAACAGAAATAGTCGTCGTTCTTCTCGCTATCCACGTGCGGCATCGTCACGGCGCAGCTGGAGCACAGGATGTCGCTCGTCGTGCCGTCCAGGTCACGAACGTCGTAGGTATTCGACTCGATGCGGACATCGGGGGCGCTCGCTAGCATGTCCTTGTCCGACTTCCCGTGGAGGAGATTATTCGGCTCGCCGTCGGAGACGTTCATCAGCATGGTCTTGTCCGACTTCCCTCGCTTGTGCATCGTCTTGTTGCATGTGAAACAGAGATGGTCGTCGTACTTCTCACTATTCACCTGCGACGTCTTCGCGGCGCAGCTGGAGTTAAAGATGCCGTCCGACGCGGCGCGCAACTCACGAACATGGGGTCCTTCGGAACGCCATGGATCATCACCAACATATCCTTGTCCGACTTCTCGTGGTAGAAGTTCTTCGGCGCGCTCTGCGGCTCGCCGGTGTCGCCGTGGGGGATCCTCGGGTCGTCGTTCAAGTCTACGAGGCCCGGCGGAAGGCCGGCAACAGCTCCAGTCAAGAAGAGTCGGCGTCGTAGTCGTGCTCGGCGGCGTTGGGCCCGTGAGCGCCGCGCCTCCAATGGGGGGGCGCCGCAGCGGTCGTCCGCGTTGGCTGGCATGCCGCCGGCGCGCTGGGGTGATGCCATGAGCCAGCCGAGCGAGCAATCCCTTTCGGGGTCCTGGCGGAGGGAGGGAATCGCGGAGAGGCGTGGCAGAGGCCGTATGTGTTCAGGGCCTGGGCCGTCCGCGGCCTTGGGAGGGAGGGGAGGGGGAGAGTGAGGGGGATGAGGATGAGGATGAGGATGAGGATGAGGATGAGAAGCGAGCGGCCTCGGAAGGCGCCCAGGTCGGGTGGGGGCGGCGGGGCGGCGGCGTCGGCGGCAGCGGCGGGCCGCAGCAGTGAGGCCACGGTCGGGCCTCCACGCCGCGCTGCCCAGCGGAGGCGAGCTCGCGCGACTGCGTGGAGCTCGGCAACAGATCTCCGTCGCTCACGGCACGCACAGATCAGGGTATATGCAAGATCATGTAGGAGACCGACGGAGAGCAGGGCAGGGGCAGGGAGGGGACCAAGGGGGAAAACGAGGATCCGATGCACCGCCGAGCCGCCTTGAAAACCCTCGGGGAGCGACGGGGGCACTCGGGGGATATCCCCCAGGACGGGGCAGCTATAATAATGCTGTATGTCATCTCCCCCCGCGGCATACGCGCACCACCTGCGACGTAAAGTGGCCTCTCGAAACCTGCGAGAGGTGCACCGGCTATTACGCGGGGCACGGGCCGACGCAATGGCAGCGCGCTGGGGGGGCGATCTGACCTAGGCGCTCCAGGTACATCATACAAGCATCCACTTCTGGGGCCGTGTGGGGGGGGGGGAGGGGCGGGTGAAATATTGGATGCGCTTGCTAATCGTGCACCGTGCGGCGAGGGGGCGGCCAGAGCTCAGTAGGCGAACCATTTTTATCTGCAGCGGGGGCGTCAGAGGCGGCGGCCGAGGGGGAGCAGTGACCGTGTCGTAGTTTTCGATCAGGGCCATGATGGAGCATGTCCTGATGAGGGGGTGTCTTTTCCAAAGGATAACACATTCATCGGAGTCGGCGAATTCTTCGAGCTTGCGTCGGATGGCGAAGAACGAGGACGAATAATGAGCGAGACGAAACATCGCAGCACGGCACATACATTCGAGACCACGTATCTGAATTCTGGCCCCTACGGAGGTGAGGTCTTGTAACAGCACAGTCGGGGTGGCGTTTCTCGGCGCGTTGGTGAGAGCCTGTCCAGCCCCGCGCAGGCGGTCCAGAGCGAATTTGGCGGGCAAGACGAAGTGCCCGATGCACGTGAGGCAGGAGAATCCATACGCATTAAACCTGGCTGTGCTCTGGTTGAGCCCCAGAAACAAGCTCTTGACACTTTTGGCCCTCCCCTCCATCTTCCGCGCAAGTCCTTTCCAGCTCAGCGGCTTAGCTTCCCGCCCAAGAACCAGTCCAAGATATCGGGCAGCAATGGCGAGAGTGAAATTATCCCTGCGGATGCCAATCTCGCGGAACTGATTCTTAAACTCAGCGGCCGAGGGCCGACTGTAAACCGCGATAACCGTCTTCTTGAAATGCAAAATAAGTCCTGCCGCACCTGCAGCAACAACCCAAACCTCGAGAGCCAGCGAGAGGGCCTGATACATGTCCCTGGAGACGATCCCGGCGTCGTCGGCGAATGCCCGCACGAGGCCGAGGCGCGGGGCATTTTGCAGCGCGTGGGCCTGAGGATCGGGTCCATGGCCAACGCCAAAATCGATCCAGAAAGCGGGCGCCCTTGTTAGATTCCCCGCTCCTGCCAGTAAAAGCGCCCACGGCGCCCACATAAGAGAATGCAAGTGCGCACGTGCAAGTGCAGGGCAGTCACGGCCGCGCGGATGTGGGAAGGGGGCATTCATGGCGAAGAAGATCCAGGAAATCATGCCGTGGAGGAGGCTGGGAAAGGCGGCCTTCACGTCAAGGGCGACAAAACCCGTATCACTATACAAATGCAGGCAGTGCCAGTGGAGCGCTTTTGCCTCGATGTCCAGGATCTTGTTAGTCATGCTCCTGCCTTTAATGAAGCCCTTCTGGGCGTCGAGGCAAGTTTGCTCGCGCATCAGGCTCGTCGGAATGTTGATCGCCGTGGGGGCGATCTTATTGCAGGTGTTGCTGAGGGTGATGGGCCTAGTGCTTCCAGCCGCTCGAAAGATGCCAGTGCCCAGAGCGTCCGAAGCTTGTTCGCCTTTTGCCAGAAACACAGCCGTTCCGTGGTTGAAATCGCCCCCAGGAAGTTCGCCTCTCAGAACCAGAAAGTGAACCTCGAATCTAAGATGGGTGACCAGTGGGCCTCCGCGGGCCCAGCGCGAGTACGGGATCCCATCGGGCCCAGGGGCGCTGTCGTACATGTTAGAGACGATGTGGTGGATCTCGGGGAGCTCTAGAGTCCAATGGACGCCTGGTGGGCGCCGCTGAACATACGGCCTCAGAAGTTCGCGAACATGACTGGCCCCGGAGAACCCTTTGTGAACTTGCCCCCGGTGCTGTGCAAGAGCGAGCCCAACTTCATCAGGGTCGTGCAAATGTTGCCCCGTGGGATCCACGACGCCAGTCAGAGAAACTCTTTTCTGAAACTTGCCCCAGGCGGAGGTGTGGGATTCCAGCCGAGCTTTCAGGGTGGCCTTCTTCTGGGGGCCCATGGAGGTCGCCTCGAGTTCGGCCTGGCGTTCCTGGATCCTCTGGAGGGAGAGGCCTCGCAGATGCTCGTGAAATCGACGCTCGTCTGTCCAACCGGCGCCAACGCTTTGCACGTATTGGCCAAGCTGCGGGTCGCATCGGACAGCGCGAGCAACAAGCTCAGCGTTTCCCTGAGCAACAGCACGTATTAAACTGGGCAACCATGTGATCCGCTCGTCGGTTCTCTGCGCTGGCCGAAGCGCAAGTCTGTCTCGGACTTGCTTGGCGGCTCCTCGAAAAAGATCTCGGGCTTCCTGTGGGGCAACTTGGAGGTCCTGATGAAACGGGCCATGGTCCCCCAAAAGCTTCTCCATCTCCTCCTTAAACCACGGATGCCTCGAGACCCAAGGCGGGATTTTGCCATTCCCAGGGGGCCCAGGAGGAGTAAGCGTAAGGCAGACGGGGATGTGGTCACTCGGGTTGCCTTTCTTGTTGGGGACACCCAAGACGAGGCTGTTAGGGTAGAGGTCCAGGGCTTGGGCAGGGTAGAGCTTGGTGTAAATCATATCGATTCGACCTAGACTGACTCCCTGCTGAGGAACGTGCGCAGCATGCGTAAACTCGGGCTGATCTACCTCAAGCAGATCAGGAAACTTGTGGGCAAACTCGCTGGCGAGGGCGTTCTTCGGCACTGTGCGTCCGTCACTGTGAGCCCGACTCTCGCCCAGACTGGGGAAGTTCCAATCGCAGATAAACCTCGA